CTGGAAAGGAGCGTGCCAGCCCAGGAGCACAGAGGGCTGGCTGCTCCCCTCCCCCCACCCTGCTCTCTTGTCCTTCTCTCTGCCACCTGCTCTGAAGCCAGTGCCAGGGCAGAAGCGCATGGGGAGGCGGGCAGGCTGGCTTGCCACCTTTTGCCCCTAAAGGTAAAACGGCATTTTAGGCCAGGCAGAGCACTGCATGGGTTAGGGAGGCAGCACCACGAAGAGGCCAGATGGCTGAACCAGTGCAGCTCCGCTGGCTGTTCTCCCGAGTGTGGGCAGGTGAAGCTGGTCCCCAGCTAAGGCACTGACTGGGGTAGCACTGCACTGCCTGGCACCTTGGCTGGTGACCAGCCTCACCCACCCAACCTTCTCCCACTGTGGAGAAGCGAGAACGGGCAAAGCCTTCCCTCAAGGCCCACTGACCGAAACGGGTCTGTGGACTGACCCCCCCCCCCCCCCCCCGGTTTGAGACGGATCCTACATGCCCCATGGACCATCTGGCACTCCCAGCTTGCAGCTCATAGCCAACAAGGCCTCAATAACCTTGAGGCGTACAGGTGAGGAAGAGAAATACTTTCTGCCCTCTGTCTTATATTGCCGTCACTCTTGAAATGTGTCCGTGGGGACAGGAGTGGAAGAGCACTGACTTCTGTTCCCTGGCCAAGGTCTGGAAGAAGAGCTCCAGTCCTCTGGAAGCTTGGCCAGAGATAATCTGTCATGTTACTCAGTAAGTTACTCCTCTCTGGTCTGTGCAGGAACTACACCCTGGAGCTCTTCACTCCATTCTATTTAGCCCAGTCGTCTGATCAAAACTAAAATGGATTTACACAATGCTCCTTCCCTATCCAGTGTTGTGTCTTTTAATTAGACTTGTATGCCTGCAATTTGTCTTAACCTGCACAGAATTGCTGGAGAACTCAACTTCACCTCTTGCTGCTGCTTGGATCCCTGCTACCTAATGTTAGGGGTGCATCGTGTTTCCTGCTGCAGACATGACGCTCTCCGAAGATTTGCCTGCACGTGTCTCCTCCGCTTCCTGGCCCATCACATGCCTCTTGGGGTTTCCTGCTGAAAGCCTCAACATTACTCAGGCACAAGGGTGCTGCTTCTCTACATCCATTACCTTGTCACAGAGTGTGGCCCTGAGCTCCGTTCTCGTCAGAGCAGCCCTCAAGCCTTTCCCTGGCAACGGCACAAGGGCAAGCCCGCTTTACACAGGAACTCCATGAGGCGGAGCGGCACCAGTGTCGGCAGGACCGCTTTCCGTCGAGCTGCATGGAACCCTTCTCCAGGCAGGAGCAGCAGATGGCACACCACAACTGGCAGAGGTCACGAACGCTGTCCCACACTGGCAGACTGAGCCGCAGCTGGGGGCTCTGCCGCTGAGCATGTGGCCACTCCCGCTCTCCACCGGCTCTCTGGGTGGGGCCTTTCCCAGCCCTGCCGTGTGAAGCCATTTGCAGGGGAGCTGCCTGTTCTGAACAGGGACTTCTGTACCAGCCGCCTATTGGCTACCAGGCCCAGTTTGAGGATTTGGTACCAGGATGGCTGAGAGGGCACCTTCCCCTTTACCAAGCTGCTGGGTCACCGAGGTCAGTGGAAGGCATGCTCCCGTTGGCTCCACGTGCTGGTGTACTCCCAGAGCAGCTGTCGGGGTGGCGACTCCACTTCTATAGAATTCCCTGCCCCTGGAGGTCAGTTGAACTCTGAAATGGGGTGGTGCCTGGTGCCTGGAAAGGTGTCTTTTTGGAGAAGCCATCCTGACGAAGCAGCCACAGTTCTGAAGTTAGTCTGTTCCTGATGCATTGTGTTTATTCTTGCATCTGTTTTATCTTTTATGGTCCACAGCTCCAGAATCTGCATAGACGTGGAGTGGTACACAAAGGCTAGGAATAACAGAGCATGGTGTACCTTTTGTTACGCAGCAGTCTGACTCTGCACAAGGCCACTTCAGGCACCCTCTCCTCTGGCTTAGCGGTCAGTTTCCAGTCACGCATTTGCACACTGCTCCAAACAGTGCAAACTGAGCTCGTGAAATGGCTTTTTAAACAACTTGCATCTTTACCCTGAAGGCAGCCCTGGCTGAGCCAGTCTCATTTCTGCTTTTCTCTTTTGGCAGCTGATTACAACCTGGATGAAACTACCTCCTGGTGACGGGGCAGGTGGGTGGAACAAACCTTGCCTTCCTAAAAAACTGGGGTTGGTTTAGATGAGCTCCAGTTTATTCCCGTCACTCCCTTTTCTGGAGTGTGTGTGTGAGAGAGAATAGACATTGAAGAGCTTGCAAACTCTTTGTGGAGTTGTTACAGATTTCTGTTTTGGCTCAATGTTGTCCAGGAAAAAAGGACCTCATTGAACTGGTACTAAATTTCATGGGATTTTTCCACTGCAGCCAAAGACTGTGCCTTGGACTGGAAAATTAATTTTCTCAGGAGATGGTCTCTTTCCACTCAAGGGAGGATGGTGGTGCTGATACAGAAGCTCTGACCCACATTCTCTCCCATAAAGATCACAAAAGCAAATTTAACCCAGCTGTCTCTCAGAGCAAGCATTTCCAAACAGTGATGCTGTGACCAACCTGGCTAGAAATGGCAGCCTTCTCTTACTTCACATCTCAACTGCACTAAGCCAGATCAAGGTCTCCCCCACACCAAGCAAGGGTTTCCTGCTTTGCTCCCAAAGGGCCCCAGAACTTTGCGCATGATTTGCCAGGGCACATGAGTGTGCTGAGAGAAATGCTGCCACCGCTGGGAGCTTCTGGCAAGGCTGCAGATGCTCACGGAGAGGCTGGTGGCTGCAGCCCTGCATGATTCAGCACCAGCAAAGCAATGCTCCTGGTGCTGCTCTTCACACAAATGGAGGAAGCCATCACTTTCTTGCCCCATGCGTAAGCTCACCAGGGCAAGCGACCTGGCAAAGCTGAAAAGAAGTGGCATTGGCCAGGGGACTGTGGGCTTCTGAGGGCGACATCTCCTCCTCACATACCCACCAGGAAAAGCATTAGCCAGGAGCATGTGCAGCTGCAGCTGCTCCTGCGGCCAGCTGCCCTGAGACTGCTGAGCTGACTGGAGGCACACCCCATGCAGGGGACCACGGCCCGACCACTGGGCCTGTGGTGGGGTGCCTGTGCCAATGCGACCTACACCACCCTGAGGATCATTCTGTCTGCGGGTGGGATAGAAATCACCCAGCAGATGCAGATGTGGCTGGGCAGTCTTCCAGTGGCGCTCGGTAAGGGCCTCGGCACAACCTGGTGAGCTGACAGAGGAGCTCCTCGATTAGGAGCAGTGAACAGAGAGGCAGCCACACCAAGTTTTGCACGTGGTGACACAATCCATGTGTGTGGATTGTGTGGAGCTGCACAATCACACTCCTAATCTTGGGTCCCCAATGTGGCTCACTTCAGGTAGCACCAACAGCCCTTCCAACTTTTTTTCCACATTTCTGGAAGCTCGCTGCTGTACCACAGGGGAAATTTAGGTCAAGTCCTCCACTTATTCCCATACTGCTTTCTCTAACAAAGCTTTACAGGAGCATGCAGAAAGGTAAGAACTGCTGTGAGAACACGTTCCCAAAACCCCAAAGCCACTCAAGCAGCCTACGGCCGGTTCTGCAGCAAGCCGGTCCTCTCCCTTGCCGAGCCCTCGGACAGCCCTCCTGTGGGAGTCACGCCAGGGCCTCGGGGCATCAGCGGAAAGGCCCCGGCTGTGCCCACAGCAGTCTCTTGGTATGGCTTCCCCACGAATCCCAAGGAGCAGGTGGAGCGGCTGCCACCCTGAACTGGTCCTGGGAGCTGAGACCATCTGTATGGCTGGAGCATGGGGAGCAGCCCAGGACGTGGCAAGGGGGGTCGAGTCACGCTCTGTCACAGCAGCAGGGCTCACCTATGACAGAAGCTCCAGATGCTGCAAAGGTACAGCGAAGCCTGGTGGTGGGCAACACCACCGAAATTCCAGCAGGCCTCATTAAGTGCTGCCCCCTGGCATCCTGGACCAGCACTGCAGAACTGGCTACCCCTGTTTGAGATGGTCTGCAGCTGCTTTCGAAGAAACCCGCTTGGAACACCCTGCTGGGCAGTGTTTTAATGTAGGAGAAGGCAGAAACTAAGTACAGAACTAAGAGCACAACTCCTCCCAGGATTTTCGTGTCCCTCAAGGCCAGCAGACAGATCAAAACATGTCTGATGTAGGGGACCTTGCCACAGGAAAGCTCAAGCCCGAGAGTTGTCTGTCAGAATTTCAAGTGCCAGAGGCCCACGTTGGTTCACAGCCCTGCCCTTCTCAGAGCATTGTGACTAGGCGCAGAAAAGGTATGCATTGGGCACGGTGTGGTCAGGACCTTGGAGAGTACCCAGTAGGTTCGATGCGCAACCAGGACGGCCTAGCAAGCGGTGAGTGGGCAGTCTTGCTGGCCTGCAGCCAGCCCGAAGTTTAGTTTGCACTGGAGAAAGGGTGGTGGCTTGCATGCGTGTGGTCCAGCCTCCGGGTCAAAGCCTGCTCGGAGTGAGCACACCTGCGAGGACTCCTGCAGCCCTCGGGCTTCTCGTGGGGTCCTGCAGTGTTTTAGGTCTGGGAAGGAGCAGACAGACCTGGGAAGGAGCAGACCTTTTGAAGAACAGACAGGGGAGGCCTCACTGGTCCCTGGAGCTCCTTACTTGGAAGCAGATGCATCTTAGTGGTAAAGCGCATGCTTAGCAAGGAAAGGTCCCCAGTGCATCTCCAGGTAGAGCCAGGTGAGACTTCTGCCTTGAAGTCTGGAAAGCTGGTGCCCGTCAGTGTAGACAGTCCTGAGCTAGAAAGACTATTTGGCTGAAGGAAACTTTGGGCATTCCTCCTCCCCGGAAGTCTAAGGAAGTCTCGGACCGAGCAGTCACTTTTCTGCCTGCCTCCTACCGCAGTCCAGAAGCCCAGCAGCCTCCCATTGTGAGCCTCAGCCCTACCCTGCCTGGGGAACGGGCCACAAAGCACACTCCCTATAGGGCTGCAGTATGTGCCCTTTACCTTTTTTAATCTTCTCGTGGAAGTTGATGGCGTCCACAGATGCTGTCACAATGTTGGTCTTGCAGTGGCGGGCAGCAACAATCCCAGCCACTTCATCCATCAGTTTCATCGTGACGCCTGCAGGAAAAAAGGAATAACAGCGGCCCATTATTAGCTGAGGCAGCCAGCAGAGGTCCCTGGGACAAGCCTGCGGAGAGCTCTACAGTCTGAATTCCTTCGCCATTAGGTTCAGCTCTCCTCCAGGTGTCATTAAATCCCACCTGCCCCCATCAGCATGGTCAATGGGTGGGGATGATGGGAGTCACAGTCCAAACACTGTTTATTTTATTTGTTTTCATTTTATTTGATAAATACAAATACATAACCCACCTTTCCCCTCCAAGAAAAGGAGTCACCCCAAACACCTCACAAACCAACAACAGCGAATTGACAAAACAGAGTCACCAAAAATTAAAAGCAGCAGCAACACGCAAAGAACCAAAAATAACCATCAGTTAATAAATAAAGTGGCAGAGATTAATGCTTGTTTTAGGATTGCAAACCTTTTTCTCTCTGGAGCCTGTAAAAGGCCCCCAATTCTTTCACAGTTGCTACCCTTTCGGACTGAACAACATGAACTCGAAAGCCATACAGAAACTGGTACTAGTGGCCAAATTCAGCAGCTCGAAATCTCAAAGATGTTTTTTAAAATACGTATTTCTAGCTCCTGAAATTAACGATCAGCTCAATACCATCTGACAAAGCCTTGAATGCAAGAGAGGAGGACTCAGAGCTGCTGGGGCAAAGTTTCCTCACCAAGAACCTGGCTCAGGAGCCTCATGAATGAGGCTCGCTGAGCTCTTCCTCGCTTCTGAACTCAGGGGACTGCCCACACGGGGCTTCAGAGGGGCAGCAGGTGCTGCATCTTCTCAGCAAACTGGACCCCCATGTACTTTTCTTAGGAACTACCTGCAGCTGAGAAGGCCTCAGCCAACAAGCCCACAGCCACCACCAAGGAAGTCCGCTGGATCTTCAAAGACCACCAGCTTCAATCCAAGGCTGCCAAGCATTATGATCTTTTGGTGTAAACAGCTGAGGTCCAAACCACGGCTGCTCAGGACATGGGGGCAGGGGTGGGGGGCTCTTTGGGTGGATTATCCCAACTTCTGGGATCCTCTGCTGCAAGAGAGCTGCTTCATCCTCTTCCCGGATAGACTTCCATCACCATCAGGAGACATTCCTTTTAAAGAAAACCTTTGGATACTGGTGATTTTAGTCAACTTCTGTTCTTATAATTTTCTCTGCTTTTTACTGCTCTTCCTTCTTTTGAAGTAAGCATGCTTGAGTGTTGTATTTGATTTCATTGGTTTCATTTTTATACCACTCAAGAGCTAAAGCTCTCTGGGAAGTTCAAGGGAATGATATGTGCCAGAGGTCATCTTCAGAGGTCCTCCTCTGGAAGCCCACTCCAAAGGAAGCAAGCACGGTGGCTACTGGGAGAAGAGCCTTTTTGGTTGTGGCCCCCCGACTCTGGAAAGAGCTCTTCAAAGTGGGTGCCTGGTGCCTACTCTGTAGTCCTTTTTGTGCCAGTGAATACCTTTGTATAGTCCCAGTATTTTAACAGTTAACTTTTCAACTTTAGTTTTAATATTGGATGTTACCCTCTACATCTGCTATACCTCTGTGCTGATTAGGTTGCAATTGCTGTACTTTTATTGTCTTGTGTTATTTTTCTTCCTTTCTTTCTTGTTCTGTTTTTTAAATTTTTGCTAACTGCCCAGAGCCTCAGCTTTTGGGCAGTATAAAAGTGAAATGAATAAATTACAACCTTAACATAAAATAAAATAAAAACAAAACATGCAATCTTTAAGGCACAAAATTTAAAAACAATTATTGTACTGATTGTATTTGTCAATATATGTTGTACTTCTTTTTCTTTGTTAGCTGCCTTGACCTACATGAAAAGGGATATACATGTTTTCAAAAATAAACAATCTAGCAGTTTAACACTGCCATATATCCTTCAGACAAAATGTAGCTGGTCTTAATCAGAAACATTAAAGGCAATGAAATATCAAGGGCTTGGAGGTTTTCTCTTCTCTATGGGTATGGTCTCTGATCAAAAGGAAACCTGCATTCTTCCTCTAGGCTTTAATTTCCACTTCCTGAAAGGTTTTTGGCTCATCAAAGAAGTGCCTGGCTATCATTCTGCAAAGTGAGCAAAGCTATTTCTGCTCAAGCACAGCTAAGCAGGTAGGAGGCACTGGGGAGGGGAAGGAGAGGAGGCTAAGAAAGGTGGGAGATCTTCACCGGAGAGGCGTGCATGCAAAGCCCCTCTCTGCTGCGACAGACTTTTAAGCCCTACAGAGCTTGGGACACAGTAGGACTTGGCAAGAGCAAAACAGTTCAGTGATAAGATGCAGCTTGTCCTGTTTTCTGCACTGCTTTTTGGTGCCCAGAATAAGGGTGGGAGGGTAAACTGCAGCAACTGAAGAACCCTGCAGCCATGTCTTCCTCTGCCTTGAGATCCTGCCCTGAATAAACTGGAGGCCAAGTCAGGCAGTCCCTTCCAAAACAAAGGGGAGTTGGCTGAGCTGGAAACCCTTCTCCCACAGCCTTCCAGAGGCTTGTTTCAGGAAAAGGGAAACAATCTGTGCTAAGGAATGTCCCCTTCATGCCTCAACTGGAGAGGAAGCCCTGTGAACCAGGCTGATGCAGTGTTGGCCTCCTGTATTTCGAACTTCACCCACCATCAGCCCCAACTGGCAGGACCAAAATATCTGGAAGGCACCAGGTTTGGGGAAAGCTGCGTTAGAGAGGCCAAGTAGGACTGGAGGGACTGGAGCCCAAATCCTTCCTCAGGCTTTAAGCTAGCTGGGGAGCTGCCCTCCAACACATCTGCTGGGACGTGCCAGAACAGAGAAGATTGCTCTAAAGAAGGCTGCTCTGCCAGCATGTCCCCATGCCATGATCCCATTTCCATCTGCCCATCAGAAGGGGCACCCCAAAATTGCAGGGTGGTGACACTGAGGAAAAAGCTGACCATTTCTTGGATAAAGGCCAAAGTGCGCAAGCAAGAAAATACATTTTCAGCCAAGGTTAAGGATTCCTGATATCCACAGCTGCCTGTGAGCTCACAAAATATGACAGCTGACTAGGAGGGCAACCCTAGGCACACTAGGCAGAAAAACAGCCTGCAGCTGCCAGCATGGCCTGGGCGGCGAAGCACCTGGAGAGGTCTCAAAGGGGTGGAGGCCGCTGAGCTCAGCATCCAGGCAAGCTTTTGCAGCAGCAACTCTTTCTCCCAGGTGAGGGACTGGTTTGCAGGCAAGAGCAGAAGGCGTGAATCCAAAGCCCTGCTCAGCAAGTGCTGGCCGTGTGCCAGTCACAATCTGCCAGGCTGCACCATACTTCCCAAGGGCTTTGTTGCAAGAATAAAATGGGATTCTCTTTGGAGGAAGGAAAGTTGCAAACTGGGTGGGAGATGTTCCTCTGGGAGAGAGCCCCCGGAAGCCCCTCGAAGTCTCCACCTGCTCGCGAGCAATTCCTCTGGCCTAGATGCTTGCACAAAACTGACACGGGCGGAAGAAGGATTGCCAGATGAGCAGCAGGCATGGCTCAGGTGAGAAAGAGGGAGCAAAGAAAGGGCTGCAGAGGGGTAAGTTGGTCTGAAAGTAAAGGCGAAGCAAAAAGACCGTGCATTTTCCAGATGCACAAGAATTCTTCCGTTGCAGGGAGGGGGTTGTTTTTGTTTTTGCGTCAAGCATTCGTATTAACCCACATGGCTGGTGAGAGGCCATATAAGAGAACGGCTGAAGGCATCCAAGTCCATGCCAGTTCTCTGAAGGAAGAGGTGTGCCAGCTCCTTGCTCTGCTGCTCACAGAGACCAGACCTGGCAGAGCAGGGCAAACGGCTCAGGCCGACTGGCTCCTGTCCCCACGGAGAGTGGGTGGGCACAGGCCACTCTCAACACATGGAAGGGCTGCCCGCTGCCAACTGGACCAAGGGCCAGTGCAGCCGTGGCAGCCCACATGGCTCGCCCGTGCCCGGGAACCAAGCCTATGCCGGTGCTTCGCTCCACCTCTCACAACGGACTGGGAGACACAAACCGTGCGCAGACGAGTGGCCAGCGGGAGATGGCGACAGCGACACACCCTGTATCACACTACGCTGCTCTCCATGCAGCTCCTCGGGACCCAGCGGCCAACCCCGCCCGGCCCAGAGCAGGGCAGCACGGCCTCAACTGGAAGGAAAGCTGAGTGGCTGAATGTGCAGAACCCCCGTGCTGCCTTCCTGCAGCCACTGAACAACAGGCGGCGGCGGCGGAGAGGGCACGGTCCTCCTGCGAGGCAGGCAGCAGTGCCCTGTGCCTTGGCACTCTGGCAGGGCAAGCTGGTCGAAGGTGCAGGGCAAGGGAATGCAGTCAGAGAGAAGCGAGCTGCACGTCGGGGAGAGCGTGGCACCACAGTGGCTGCAGCGAGTGGCAGCCCTGTGCAAAGACCACGGGGAAGCAGCTTCTGTGCGGAGAAAGAGGCCGTGGTGCCAAGGAGGACTACAAAAACCATCAGCTATCCTTTTGCCCAAACTGCAACTCTCCTCTTGGCAACCGCAGTTTGTGAAAGCGCCAGGGCTTAGACAAGCTGGACAGAAAAAGGAGGAGAAGCAAACAAGCAGCCCTCTTCTCCCCCTCCCAAGCAATTCCAGAGAGCAGAGGCACTCCAAACTGGACATGGGCTTTCAGTGAGCCTTAAGCGAGGGAAGGAAGCAGTGCCTCGGGCCACACAAAAACTGACCCTGGGGTCCAGGGCCAGCCCTGCAGCTTGGAGGAGCTCTATATGCAGCTCAGCGCCTGGGTGGACAGGCAGAAGCTGTGGCCAGGAATGCTCTAGCTGACAACTGACGCTGTCCCTTGCGTGCCCAGTCCCTGCCCCGGTCCCATCCAGCCTGCTCCAGCGCACTGCCTTGTCCGCAGACACAAAAGGCCACGGCCAGCGTTCTGGCCGGGGGCAGGGGGTCCCTCACAGGACTGGCTCTGACAGCAATTTCCTTTCATTGCCCTCTAAGCTGCTTCAAAGCACACTTCAAAATGCTGCAGATCCCTTTTTAAAGCTGGGGACAGGGAGGAGGGTGCTGTTTC